CGCCCGCCGCGCCTCCGCCTGTCCGCCCCCGCCGGCCGAGGCTGGGCTGCGGGAGGCGGCCGGGCGGCCCCAAGCCGAGCTAGGGCGACCAAAACAAAGGCAGCATCCGGGGCTGGGTGGATGCAAACAACCATGAAAGACTGGGTTCTCTCTCTCCCCGGCTCTGCTGCTGCCGCCGCCGCTGCTCCTCCTCCTCCTGCCGCCGCCAGGAGGGCTCCTCTGTGAGGGGAAGCAGGGGCGCAGCTGCTGGGCGTGAATCCGAAAGGTGAGAGCCAGGGAGCCAGAAGAGGGGGCGTGCAGGCCACGAAAATGTCCTCGGCGGTGGGGCCCCGCGGTCCTCGCCCACCCACGGTGCCTCCCCCCATGCAAGAGCTGCCCGACCTGAGCCACCTGACCGAGGAGGAGAGGAACATTATCATGGCAGTGATGGACCGGCAGAAGGAAGAAGAGGAAAAAGAAGAAGCCATGCTCAAGTAAGCCACCCCTGGCCGCGCCATCCGTGCCTCCGTGCCTCCATCGGTCCATTCGCCACTCACTCACCCAATCCTCTCGGCTGAGTGTGGGGGAGGGGCGGGCGAGGGTGCTGGGTGGGGGGCGGAGGCGCCCGCCCTGGGGCCAGGGGCGCCGGGTTTGAGCAGGGAAGAGGTTAGGGGGACAGGAGGACGGAGGGGATGCCACCGAGCGGGGAGCCCGGGAGCCAGGAGAGGATGTCTTGAGGCTGGGGTGCAGAGGAAGGTTGGGTGGAGAGGGACCACCCTGAGGGTGGGGTATGCAGAAGCTGAGAAGAGCTGATGCCGCCCAGGTGGAAGGGCCCTGGGCTGGGAACAGGTTAAGGGCCAGGTGATGAGTGGAAGAAAGGGGAGGTGGGATGGATGAAGAGGTGCTGAGAACAGCTCCTCTTTTCCTGGAGTTGTTCAGGAGGTTGGGGTTACCCCAGTGAAGGGTGCCAGTATTTATATAAGAAAAATGCTTCTTTGAGTGCTCATTTTGGTACTCATTCATCTCCAGATCAAGATTGGGTCTTTTTTGGGCAGTTGCCATCTTTGGTAACCTGCCTCCCCAGCTTCTCTTTAATCTTTTAGTCACAGTCTTCTTCATAGAATACCTGTGTGAAGATACATTTTCTTACCCATATACAATGCCATTGGCAAGGCAAAGTTTTAAATAATGGGAGAAGCTGATGGGGACTCTGGCCTGAACAAAATAGAGGTTCTTCTCTTTGCTGGTTTCCAAGAGACCCCTGGGGCCTGCTCAGCTTCTGGTGGAAGCAGTACAATAGGGGATCAAATATGCGCACACATCCCCCCTTCCTTAAAGCCTATCAGCCCTTCAGAGCCTGTCTGCCCAGTGCCCCATTTCCCCCTGTCTGGGGAGGGGATGGGGCTTGTTGCTGGTAGTGCAGGGGTGTGTGACACTTCCTGTGCTGCTGCTTATATTCTCAAACAAAACTGCTTACAAGGTACTGGCATCCAGACTGGGTTTTCCTTGCTCCTTAGCATCACCCATAGAGTGGAGCTGCAGGGGACTTCGACTCTGCCTTCCCTGGTCGTCTTGTATTCAGGAAAGTTTTCAACTTGGGGGTAAAGGAATTTGGAGACCCTGATTGGGACTACTTTGTTGGTGTCTCCCGTTTAGACCAGAAGGTGTATCTGGGGGCAGAGGATTGGCATGAAAAGCCAAAGGGAACCTGTTGCATCTGGAGTTAGCTGAGAGGGAAGAAGGGGGCAGGGAGGGAACAGGCGTGACACCCAGGCACAGAGCACACCCATCAGGGCCTTCCCCACCCCAGAGGATTGCCTCCTGAAGACAAGATGCTGTCACTGAAGGTTTCTTGTGCTTCCTCTCAGTGCAGCAGTGCCTAGAAGGAAAGGAAGGGAGGGAGGCTGCATTCCCAGACTGATGGGTCCCCACCAATGTAACTGCCACCCAGATGGGAGAGGGGGATATTGAGCAAGTGCTGTCGGTGCTGGGCCACAGCAGAAGAGTAGAAATCCAGTCATTCCTGCCCTTTCATTGTAGACTCAAAGGGTCCGGAAGGCCAGAGCTGGCCTTGTTCTATAAAGAGCAGCAGGTTTCTGGATTCCCTGCTCCTTCTCCTCCAAAAGACAAACACTTTAAGCCTTCTGGCTTGAGGGAGGCAGAACGCCTGTTAATCTGCTGCCTATCCCTAATGCAACAATGACATCCCTGGTGCTGCAGGCTTCCCCTCTTCTGAGACTGGAAGTAATGGATTGTGTCTGACGGTGCTGCTGTTTGTCTGTCTGGTTGTCAGTCTGTCTGTCCTCACTGGTTGCAGTCCCTGCCACCTGTCCTGGACATCTTTTTTATGCTGGTCAGGATTTACAGGTTGCTACCGTTCCTTTTGGTGTTCACTGCAGATAGCAGGTGGATGGAGGCCTCCAGCAGCCAGCAGAAAATATGAGCTGCTGCTCCATGGTCCACATAAGAAGGGGAAGGCACAGTGCAAGTAGTGGCCATCCCTCCTGTTCGTTTGCTGTTTCAGGATGGTGGAGAGTGAGAGGTTTTAAGAAGGAGAGGGTGAGTTTTAGGACACAATTCCAAATCTGCCAGCTGCCTAGGATAGCATGGTGAGAGTGTGTGGGGTTATGTGGACAAATAAGACAGTGAAGAACACCGTCCAATGCTCATGTCTAAAACATCTTTCCCACTGCTGTTCCTGTGACTGCTTTGCACTGGCTTGCAAATATTGTTCCTTTATTGCAAAGATTCACAGAATATCGCAGTGTGTGATGCTGTTACACAACAACCCTCTATAATCCCAGACCTCTGCATTAACTTTATCAATCAGCCTCCTCTGTTAGTGTCTTGGCCTTTTGTGCAGTGGCAGACTGGTGAGTGTTTTGGAATCCCGGTTTGCTGCTATGTAAGCGTGTCATATTGTCTGCAATTAGTGGAACAGTGCTGTACTTTTTTCTAGAGGGCACTTTATGTCTTAAAAACTGGTGATTGTAGAGACTTTTCAAATGACATACACATGTGGGAATTTAATGGCACAGTCATAGGTGGTGGCCTTTCCTAAACTTTGCATAAAAATAGATTGGAAAACATGCTGCTTTTCACTGGGCATTGAAGTACCATATTTGTTACATCAGAGATAACTTTGTATGGTAATGCTTGGTCCATCATATCACATATTTGAGAAATTACTTTCACAACAGGCCTTACAAAGCTGAAGTTCTGGTAAGAGCAGTTAGACTTAAAATTCACTTTTGTTCATGACTGCAGAACCATCACCTTGAGCTACCCCGTGTGCATGTTCTCTCTCTCTCTCTTCCCAATGTGTATAAATATGTAAGGCACTAATAGAACATAGAAAACTAATAGGTGAATATGCCAAATAAAGATTACAAAATACCAATTAAAATGTATTTGTACAGTTTCATCAGCCTTGATTATAAATTACTACCTGAAGCAGTTCTTGATAATATCTTTAAATGTGTGTAAATGGAAAAGAATAATCAAGCTAACTTTTGCCTCAAGATTTCAGAAAGTTTTACTCAAAATCATAAGTACTTTATCATAAAAATAAGCCCTTTAATTGGCAAAGTGCACTAATTTTAAAAACCATGCCATGTAACTAGAAATAGTTGAATCCTGCAAATAATTCTTAGTGATTGATTTGATTATCTGCAAATCAGAGGTCTTTTCTTAATGTTAGTAGGGTGTGTGTGTGTGTGTGTGTGTGTGTGTGTGTGTGTGTGTCTGTGTTTTGGAGGCTTTTTGAAACCTAACTTCCTCAATGAATACTCTTTCAAGTAACTGTCACCAGACACCATGAGCCAATATATTACATGAGGTGAAAACTGCATTATCTGGGACCTAAATCAGAGAAGATCTCATTAGATCTAAAATCTTATTCCTTTTTTAATAAAAGCTTCATAGAGAAAGGAGCTACAGAATAGTAAAAGAGAAAAAAAATAGAAGCAGAGAGTTGAAGGGATAATCTGAGGATAGGAATTGAGAATCATATTGAAATATTAAATAAAACTACTAACATTTATTGAGCATTTACCTCATGCTGGCCATTATTCTAAGTGGTTATTGAATCAAATGCCAAATAGTTGAACTATGCTCAAGTTTAATACATGCATATTTGGATTCTCACAACAGTCTGTGCAGAAGGTAAGTCAGGTCATAGAATCCTCAGATCCTTATTCTACGCTCAGAGAATTCCAGTAATACCCTAAACTAACTCACATTACATGGCCCAACCAGGATTCAAACCCAGACCTTTTATTCTAAGTCCAAATATTTTCCCATACCCTACACCGTCTTTCTACCAAGAAGAAGCTTGCATTTCATCTACCTTTACCTTGAATTAATTTCTGCTATTTCCTCAGTTTCAGAGAAGTGGTTTTGCAAAAGATTAGGCTGATTTAGTAGATCAGCTGCTGATTATAAGAGGGCCTGGAGCTTTACTTACACTCTTAATAGAGTTTTCCTGTGGATTGAGGGCAAAGGAATTGCCTCCAGTTTTAAGAAAATAAAAAGCATCATATTTTGGTGGAAAGACCATTAACTTTGGATCCAAGCATTTTGGGGGTTCTAGCACCAATTCTGTCACTTATTGTGT